GAATATGACTGCTGAAATTAAAAATTCAGATTATTAGCTTTAAAAGGAGACCAAGCTTGTGAATTTAAAGGGTTCAACAGCAGTACTTCATTTAATCTGTGTACATTTTAAGGCGTTTTATGGTATTTTATACCTGAAGGTTGAGATTTATTTCGTATGAAGTTTTGTTAAACATTAACAAGCAGTTTGGYCTGTATGAGAAGCACAGAGGACAGAGAAGCAAGACGTAAATCAAAGCGAGGAGACTCCGGTGGGACTGCTTACAGCACTCTATGGGATGTGAAGCCACTTGGAGAGAGACGTGTTGTCCTCCAGGCTGAGGGACGTGAACCCGGAACACCAGACGAACTCGCGTGTTTTTACGACCCACGTCTGTTTCGCCTTTCCTCAGCTCGATGTCAGCATTTCTGAGCTTTAGGATCCCCGCACAGTCGATTCTGAGGAGGTGGAAGAAAGGCTGTGAGCAGACCTGAGAGCAGAGCTTTTACAGTTCGGGTCAAACTGGGATCGACTCACATGGCTTTCATGTTGTTCTTCGGCTCCAGAGGGATCTCCAGGACTTTGGTGCCGTTGATGATCTTCTCAAAGCTGCTGGTGGTGACCGTCTTGCCRGTGATGCGATGGACTTGATAAAAAGCGTGAGGCTTGAGGATGCGCTCGTCTGCTGTACCGATGAAAATCTGCAGGCCGAGTGGATCTTTGCCTCTGTAGCCGTGTAACTGCAGACACCAAGAACAGTCGAGCAAAACAAGAAGTCTCCTTTAATCAGGAAAAATACAACAATCTCACATTTCAAAGGTCTTAAAATCAAGTTCATATTGCTTCAGTTTGTCAGTCTTTAACCTGATGTAGAAACAGTTGACCCATTCTTTTTACAACAGTTTTGTAGTAAGGGCTGGGTGTATTGATCTAAGTGATGAGGATCAAACCAGATCGATACTAGAGTGATGAGATCGATTCTTTATTTTACACTTTATTTACACGACTGACATCACTTTTCACCTATAAAGAGAAAAATAAAGTCAATAAATATAGTTTAAGTTATGTTCACAATAGTTTATATTTGAGACATTTTTCTGTTTTAAATTATAGACAGATAATAAATTATATATATGGCTACATATTCACAATAATTTTACCATTCCCACAAAACTCCAAACTCCACCAATCATGATTAGAACAAACTGCACACACACACACACACACACACACACACACACACACACACACACACACACACACA